CCTCTCACGCTGTCCATGCCCGTCCCTCTCACACTGTCCATGCCGCCCCGCTCACGCTGTCCATGCCGCCCCTCTCACGCTGTCCATGCCGCCCCTCTCACGCTGTCCATGCCCGTCCCTCTCACGCTGTCCATGCCGCCCCTCTCACGCTGTCCATGCCGCCCCTCTCACGCTGTCCATGCCGCCCCTCTCACGCTGTCCATGCCCGTCCCTCTCACGCTGTCCTGCCCGCCTCGCTCACGCTGTCCATGCCGTCCCTCTCACGCTGTCCATGCCGCCCCTCTCACGCTGTCCATGCCGTCCCTCTCACGCTGTCCATGCCCGTCCCTCTCACGCTGTCCATGCCCGTCCCTCTCACGCTGTCCATGCCCGTCCCTCTCACGCTGTCCATGCCCGCCTTGCTCACGCTGTCCATGCCCGTCCCTCTCACGCTGTCCATGCCCGTCCCTCTCACGCTGTCCATGCCCGCCTTGCTCACGCTGTCCATGCCCGTCCCTCTCACGCTGTCCATGCCCGCCTTGCTCACGCCTGCCTCACAACGATGCCATCTCCGTGGGAGAGCCTCCCTACACTCAGTCACCTGGCTTCTGACTCACTATGACTTGGCCCAGTGCAGGCTCCTCCAGAAGTGCCCGAGCTCTCAATGCCCGGTGCTGGGCAGGCCTACGTTCGCACCTCGTGCGTGACAGCGTACGCCTCGGGGTCAGCAAGCACAGTGCAGGGACAGGAGCCCCTCATCTGTGCACGACACGCAGGCAGGCGCTCAGCCCGTCGCGGCGACCGACCCGGCGGCCTCACAGAGCGTCCCCTCCGCAGACACCCATCCTCTGAGCTTCCACGAGGCCGAAGCCTCGCCTTGGACCCGAGAAAAGAAAGCCCTGAATGTCATCACATCTTCCACCCCTGACCATTCATTTCTGAGCCCTAACTCTTATCTCATCAGCACCTCGAACACCTCCGCAGCCGTGTTTGGCTCCAGTGGAAGGAAGTACAGAATGAAGTAGCAACTCTAGGCAGCCTGAGCCCAGGGCGCTCTGTGATGAGTCAGGGAGCCGGGGAGCTGCCATCACCCGCGTGGGTGTGAGCCTCAGCACAGCAACGAGACGCACCCTCCGGCTCGCTGCCTCCCCTCCCCTCAGAGGAAACGCTCCAGGTGAAATGCGGTCCATTATGCGATCAAACACGATATGTCCAAATATCCCCCAAACCACCAACAGACCAGAGCTCGTGTCAAATTACAAGGAAAAGAGAAGAGGCATCAGCACGTACCTGAGGGCTCTCACCGGGCAGTGCAGACCCCGGGGCAGCAGCATGAGGCCGACGGCGGTCCACGCGGCCTGGGGCACGGGGGCGCCGCCGCAGGTCAGGGCCAGGGCCAGGAGCCGCAGCGTCCACGCCAGGAGGCGCTGGCTCCTCTCCTTGACCAGGGGCCCGCGTCTGTAACAGGCAGCAAAGCTGAGAGACCCAACTGTCAAGACGTAGCCTGTAAGAGCAGAAGAATGTAACTAGTATCACTCAGAACTTGAAAGTTTATGGTAAAAACCGGCAGAGGTCTGGCCTGCGTGGCTCAGTGGCTGAGCGTCGACCTATGAGCCAGGAGGTCAGGGTTCGATTCCCGGTCAGAGCACAGGCCCCGGTTGCAGCCTCCATCCCCAGTGTGGGGCGTGCAGGAGGCAGCCGATCCATGATTCTCTCTCATCATTGAGGTTTCTCTCTCTCTCTCCCTCTTCCTTCCTCTCTGAAATCAATAAAAACATAAAAAAAAAAAAAACAAAACCAACATAGCCTGGACTGAGAGCTAAGAACACACCAGAAAAACCTTCACTTCTGTTTTCTTTTTCCAATGAAGTAAAATTGAAAAAGGCATCTAAGGTATCCTTCATGTGATACGGGCTGACCGGTTATGAGTAAGTGATAACCACCCTTGGTGTAAGTAAGGGCGAATGATCGTCAGTTATTGGAACATGTGTCTAGTTTTCAGTCCAGGGTCCTAGGACAACCATCCTCAGGCGGCCTTGGTCAGGGGGAAGCCTCAGCACCGGTCACAGCTACAACCCGACTTTTTATTGTCACGTTCCGGCCACAGAAAGACAGTGAACTTTACAGCGGAGGGACCGGCTGCGCCCTGGCAACCAGGCCCGGGTCCAGCCAACGCCGAGGGACCGCAAGAGGGTCTGTGTCTCGGGTGGGTCCGGCCGCGTGCGTTTGCGTCTGAGCGAGCCCCAAGGCCGAAGGTCCCGTCTAAAGGACATGCGGGCGAGAGAGGAACACAGCTGACTTACACCACAGAGGGGGAACTGGAAAAATCCAAGGCGTGGTCTCGTCAGCGTACCCTGTGAGGGGAACGGGGCAGAACGGGTACAAAGCGTGATTCCCGACTACAGCGCAGCTTAACGAAGCCACCACCGAGGCCGTGTCGGGAACGTAAGCGTGGCCTGGGTGATAAGTGCTTTATGGGATTTGTAGTTTCTTTTTAGACTTGATACTTGACTATAGAGGGAAATGCTCTCGGTTTTTAGAAGCGCTTAGTGAAGTATTTAGGGGACCATACCATCATATGGGTGATTTACTTTAAAAAACACTTTAGCATAAGAACCATGAACTAAAAACATAAAATCGTAACATGAAACAAAACATGTATTGCTTCTGATTTGGGGGCATAAACTTGTGTGAGAAATCTGGGGTCAGGCGTTAGGAGGAAACCAGTTCTCTCATCCCCCACCACCTCCCGATTAAACCAGGAGAAAAAGCGGGTGTTGTTTTGGTAACAAGGAGAACAGGGGGGTCCCCGACGCCTCCGTTTCTGGAAAGTCAGGTTTTCATTCGTCACATACGTTTAGGACGTCTCACCTTTCGTGCCGAATACATCAAGACAAAGATCGAAAGAGCCACATTTTACAGAAACCTTTTCATCACAAGTTAGATGTGGTCAGAGCCTCTGTAGCCAAAAGGGGCAAATCGTTTTTGCTCTTTTGAACATGAGGATAGACAACGAAGAAGGAGGTCATATGGGAAAGGGCATCAGATGAGATCGAACAATGAACTGAAATCGCCAACTATGGGAACAAATAAAATACGGTTTTAAACAGCGCTGCTTCGTTCCAAAGGAAACCTAGATGCCGGGAACATCGGCCAAGAGAAGGCCTCCAGTGGCACTTGGCAGCTTTCCCGATAACAGAACGGATCTTAAGACGTTACCTACCTACGACATGCATCCTGTGCTCACCCCACAGCCACGGCAGGTGCTCCATCCACTGGCCCACCACATACACTGAAGCAAGCCAACAAGCAACCATCACAGCCCCAAAGGTGCTGCACTGCGTGTGGAGAAAACAAACGCACGGTCAGGCGCTCTCGTAACAGCAGAAGCAAGCACACAGCCCTCGGTACCAGACACTGCTCTACAGTGTCAACGCGGCCCTCGGGTCTGATTACAGGTGCACCCCCGCCCGGCAGCCCTGGCGCCCTGGGAGCTGCCGGGATGTAGACTCTCGGGCCCAGGACCTGAGCCGCGGCCTGCACTTGGGCAGGGCGCCCGGGGCCGGCACGCCCACTGTCGCTGGAGCAGCGCTGTGCAGGGAACAATGTATCTCCAGGTGATGCTGGGCTGCACCCTTTCAGCAGAGGGACGGCAACATTATCGTCGTGAACTAATATTTGCGTCTCCTCGTTCTGTTCTGGGGAACGGATGACGACGCAGCAATCCGCAGAGGCAGCGACGCTGCTATTCACAGCCCGGATGGCTCGGCCACGTGAGAGTCCTCAGCGAGGCCGAGGTCAGAGAGACTCTCTCTTAGCATAGAATCGTCCCTGTCACTCACAAGGAAAACACATCCCCTTGAGAATGAACACGTTACCTAGAGAATGACAGGGTCTCCAGAAAAGTATCAGCAAGACGTACTACGGAAACCTACAGATGGCAATGAAATAAACAGGGACTCTCTAGAAAAGGTACGTTTTAAAGCCAGTCTGTGCAACGTAGAAACACAGCTTGAATGAGGAGTCGCCATAATCAGTGTGGATCGATCTGACCAAGCTTCCTGCCAAGGACCCCGATCTGCACACTGCGCTCACGGGCACCCACCCGGCTCACCCACCTTACGGATGCACCTTCTCGCCAGCAGCAGGAGGAAGACCGGTGTCATCAGGACGCCGAGCGCCGTCCCCAGGGAGTAATAGAAAGCGGGGCTCCTGTCAGGACAAGCAGACGGAGGCGTGTGAATGCCCAGCCACGCTGTTCGCATGGAAAACACGTTCAACTTGACGACGGAAGAAGAAAAACTCAGGCGGCGGCTTTGATTACGTCCCATGCTCTTAAAAAACGGAATCTCTGCCTGAAATGTAGGGTGAACAGCTTGCCACGAACTCAAAACACAACGTCTGCGCAATCTTCTGCTCAGAATCGGACCCGGCAAGAACTGTGGCCCCCGTCAGGCAGCGGGCGGGTGGGCGTGTGCCTGAGCCGCGGCGGCATCCGCAGCGCCCGAGAAAGCGCTGTCTGGGCTCAGCTTCTAAAGACCCTCCCGCATCAGCCTCTGCCGGGAGGACTCGGCTGCAGCCCAGATCCGCAGAGCCACGCTTCCCGCCTCGGGCTGCGTGAGCAGCGGCCAGTTGCACACGGATGGGCCGTGAGGGGTGTTCAGACTTGGTTGTGCCACAAGGAAAGGCTCAGGCATAAGCCGTGTGTAGGACAGGGCACTGAACAGTGAAAACGATTGGAAGGACACTCCTTCCTCACGGGTGAAGTTGTCAGAAACAAAATACCAGAATGGCAGGTTGATCAGAGGTTTGTGCAATCCCTCCTTGGGCATCCGAGCTGCAAGTCGGGAGGCGGCCTCTGAGAGAGGGCCAGGCGTCGGCACCAGCACACCCGCCCCTGCCCCGGCCCCGGGGGGACCAGTCAGGTGACACAGATCTCCTTCCCCATGTACACGGCGGGGACAGTAACACAGCTCACACGCGAACACGCTGACGTCCGTGAGCAGGCGATGCCACGTTCCGCCTCCGGAAGCACGGTGCGACGTTCACCTGTCATCGCCACACAAACGACCATTCCCGGCTTTAAAGGCTTTGCCAGCTTGAGCTTCAGACCTGTCGTTTGCAAAACCTGAAGCAGAGCTCCCCTCAAACCGGCGTGGGCCTCCTTCGTGGGCGCCAGCACGGTCCCCGCCCTTTCGGTCCCCGCGTGAAGAAGGGCGCCTCGGGTACTTACTGACTCAAGCGCTCCGCCAGGCGGAAGAGGACGATGCCGGCCACGAACAGGAGGACGAGCCCGAAGTCCACAACTGGAGCAAAGGAGACACACGGGGAACAGGCTTGTGTCAAGGCGGGGGCAGTGAACAGGGAAACGCCAATCTACCCACATGCCTCTCAGAAAGACGGGCCGAGAAGCCCCGTGAACCAGAGCGGACTCACCCCTGCGAGTCACCTGCACCGTGTGCCTCCCGGCCGGCTTCACGGAGAAGCACACGGTCTCCCCGTGTGGGCGGATGCTCACGGATATTTCATGAGACTCGCTCGGGGTCCAGAACGCGTGGATCTCACACTTGATCAGAGAAAGGATGGTCCCTGGGTCCTGGCAGTTGTGTCTTTTCTTGTGATATACGCCACACTGAGCAGGTCTGCGCTGGTGATCCT